CCCCGCGGGGACCCCCCCCCGTGCAAAAAATTGCTCCCCGACGAACACTACGCTCCACATTTACCTCCTACTCACAAAAATGCTCGTTGCAGCTGAGCCATGTTCACCATGGTCATTATTAGCCGATTCGAGTGTTGAAAAGAAATGTGCAAAGCAGAGTGTTGGAATGGTGTGTACGATTCGCTGTATAAAAGGTTATATGTTTGTGAATGCGGACACTGTTCCAACACGTTTCACATGCCAAGCTGGTGGTATTTGGAGTCCATCGGGAGTGGCACCGGCGTGTGTTCCGATCGCTCAGGAACCGGCACGATATGAATTGACCGTTGCGATGACCTATTCGGTACCAACGCCAGTTGGCGCCGATTGTCTCAAGGTGAGCAAACAATTATCACATCCGTAGCCGTAACTGCAATAGCACAAAAGATTACATCCCTGCTAATCGAACCAAATGACCAGCCAACAATCAGCTGTCCAGATCTTTGAGGGCACTATCACTGACCAGTTACCCTAACACGTTTCATGCCATTTTATTCCTTGTACTTAGATCTTATTCATCTCCAACGTATATTGCAAAAATCGTTTTAGTGGCTGAAAACCAGAAAATTTTCAGTTCTGAATGAATACCACATATGCACACATATATATGTATGTGGTATAAACATATGAATGTGATACATGTGAATAATTGCTTTCGATTGTTCTATTATCATACGATATAATATGCGATGATATACTTAAAGGGATATTCGGAGTTGGTTGCTGCTTACTTTGACTCACTGGATGCGTCCCTATCGCAGCGTTGTTCATCGTCTGTACAAGTTTTCGTACGCTTCTTAGACGTCCAGTTCAGTAGTCAGCCATCTGGCGTTAGTGCCAACTACACCATTCAGATTCTACCGTCTGTTTTACAGGATGTTTTCTATGAGCTTTGCGGATTAACGCTACGTACGATCTTTGATTTACGTATACCAGGTGATTGGATTGTTTGATTGAATTTGGTTCGAACATTTTTGTTATCATTGTTGGTGTTATTGTTATCATTCATTTTGTTGCTTTAAAAACGAATGAATGTTTTCAGGAGCCACAATGCCCGTACGAAATTTGCTGTCGATAAGCGGTGAAACGATAGCCACACAGTCGGTGGGTTGTCCATCGATGAATGCAACAAATACGTCGATTCAGCAAGGTTTTGGATGCGCGGATGGTGAGGTTCTTCGCGGCGGTGATAAAGAGTCATTACCTGAATGCTGTAAGTTATTGCATTCATCGGTCACTTTCTCTTTCTATCAATTTCCAGTCACGTTCTCCAGCACAAAGCGCAACATATGCACAAAGCGCAACATATGCACAAAGATATCAACGAGTCGACCACCAGCTTATGAAATGATCTCAATAAACTTTTTTTGAAAATTATGACTGTCTCATTTGGTCACATCACTCATGTTCTTTGTCAGTCCATTGAATTGCTGAAGACAATGGCAATAAGAGAATGTAAGTTGACCGAGTGGAATATCTCAATGCATAGCGCCATTTGCCCTTTCATTTTCAGTGTAGCTGATAATAGAGGGGTAATGCATAAAGATTAGCCATAGACAGGCGGATATTGATAACTACTATTTGATTTTACAGTGCCTTGTCCAAAAGGAACGGTGCATGTGAATAATACATGTGAGCTGTGTCCGGCTGGTAGTTATCAGGATGAAAGTGCCCAAGTGACATGCAAAGCTTGTCCCGATCAAACGTTCACACAATTTCCTGGATCGCAATCTGTTAACGCATGTTTACGTTAGTTTTACAGTCTTTTTTCTCGCCTCCTTTCTTCCAATGACAATTCACTGAATAGCAGTCCATTCACCTCTTCCATCAATGGTTTTTTCCTCGTTTTATTCATTATACCTATTCTCTGCTCTATGAATCAGTCAATCAATCAGTATTTTGAATGTATTTTCAGCCGTTTGTGGTAATGGCATGTTCAGTGAGACAGGACTCATACCATGCCAGCTATGTCCTCGTCACAGTTTCTCAGGGCCACCTCTAATGGGTGGCTACAAACAGTGTGACCCTTGCCCACAAGTATGTATTTTTACCAACGAGTAGCATTTTCATTTTGTTTCGATCAATGTTCAAGTGTTTTATCTCAACAACGGGCACAACAACTGATTGATGCGACCTGTTGTATGCAATGCATACCAAACTACAACTAAAAATTGAAAGCCATCTCAACAGCAGTGATGCTAATCAGTCAGTTATTATGCAACAAACACTTTAGGGTTCGTATACAGCAAAACTTGGCTCAACCGGTCCATCACAATGCAAACAACCGTGTCCAGCTGGACAGTTCTCATTAACTGGACTAGAGCCATGTTCTTCATGCCCAGTCAATTGGTATCAACCAGCGCTGGGTCAACAAAGGTGATTTTTTTTTTGTTTTATCGTTCATTCATTTAATTTCCACTACTTTCCATGAACAGCATAATATTTGATTCAAAGAGTGTGTTGTTGCTGTTCGAAAAGAGATATTGCATTCAGGTGTATTGAATGTGCGAACGATACGGTAACACGTGAGAACGGTCGTTCGGAAGCAAGTGACTGTCTGCCGGTGGATTGTTCAACGATGAAATGCGAAAATAAAGCGACATGTTCGATTGAGAATCATAAAGCTGTTTGTCTTTGCCGACCAGGGTATGGAACAAAGATGCATTTCGCTTGTAAATATAACTTCACCGATCGTATTGTGTACCGTAAATAGACAACAGACGAATGGATACTTTTTGGAAATGTTATTGATAATGTCTACGGAGGGAACCCTTCAACGAGCAGATACACAGAAGCATTCTAAAGCAACTCGTGTTCTCTTTTTCGAATCAGATTTCGTTTCACTCTGCAGTTTTGTCCACTGTTTGGGGCATGAAATAATTAGTTTTGTATTGGAAAGTGTTTCATTATTTCGTTCAGGTATACTGGCAAATTCTGTGAGGAACAGATGCCCCTCTGTGATACACAACCATGCATAAACGAGGGAATCTGTGAAGCAGCATCGGGAACGTTTAGATGTATTTGTGCGCAAAGTTAGCTGTTCTTTCTGTTTGGAATTAATCACTTTTTGATTTGTAATCATTTTCCATATCTACCTCATCAGTTCAATAAGTCAAATTCGTTTTATAGACTATACGGGAAGTAGATGTCAGTTTGGGCCTGATGAATGCATTGGAGTGAGTTGCCCGAATGGTGGTGTTTGTCAAGATTTACCTGGTTTGGGAACCACAAAGTGCTTGTGCAGGTAAGTGGCTATTTGCGATATTTTCTTCACCGCTAAATTTTATCAGTCGGTAATGGAAAATGCTACTTTGACATTAGGAAAAAAAACATAATACCAGTCAGTTATGCCACTTTCTAGGACTGGCTTCACCGGACCGGACTGTTCGCAAATTGTCGATCCATGCCTTATGGATAATCCGTGCAAGCATGGCGCCGACTGCGTGCCACTACAGTTGGGTCGTTTCAAATGCAAATGCCTACCCGGATGGACCGGACCAACGTGTCAAATCAATATCGGTTTGTCATTCATTTGATCATTTCATTTCCTTCAAATAAATGTCTACTTCTCTGTGTGCTTCTTTCTCATAATACCATATAGTCGTCTTCTTTTTCGTTCCCGTCATATTAGCTTCGTTTTTTCTTTTCAAGGAATCGCACAAACATACGCGCACATTTATGTTCATTAGCAATCAGTGTATTCATATTAGTGAAAAAAAAGACATAAATAGTTATGAAGGGAGAATAACAGCACGTAATGATCATTGATTCATCAGCTGTACTTAGAAACATGAAGCGTATCATATCATATATATCAGCAAGGAAATGTTAGCATAGCATATTATTTGGCTGGAAATGGACAGTTGATGCTTATTGATCGTAGAAATACATAATGATTGAAGATTTATGGAATGATGAATAGAATTTGGATGGAGAAGTGAATAGTTGTGCGTTATTCATGCGTTTTTATAGTTTCGAATGTGCGTTATTTTTAAATGTCTTAAAATCTTAATTCGTAAGTGTGCTATAGAAAGAATATACTTTTTAAGAACAAGTTTCAGATACATTTGTTGTTCTATGTATAGTAGTTTGGCGGGGTGTCTTTGAAACTTGGATTGAAAGGTGGTGGTGGAGGTCTTGGTGGGCGATACTGTTGTTGTTGATTTGGAACATCGAATCCACCTGATGGCGGCGTTTGCTTAACTGCTGTAAAACTTTCTGGTGGTAGCGTTTGATAGTATTTGTGCGTGACGTATATTTCAAAACCATTATAGATGGCGTAAACGAACAGCACTATAAACAATCCAACCGCATACATGTATAAATCACTGTAAGCATTCTTGCGTTCCTCTATCGTTAGGTCGATGCCGCTCCAATACTGAAACGTTTAATCAATCATCCTCATTGATTAGGCGGAATTAGAATGTTCATTTGTTTGTTTAAAAGGATTTTAGAAGCATTCTTTGAATTTCATCAGTTTTTGAGGTCTTAAAATCAGCTAGCTACTCATTATTTGAAAACTTTTATCAGTGGAGTTACACGTCAAACGCAATCATTGAGAACAGTCAAAATTTAAAGTTTTTTGTTTGCAAACTTTCTCTGCATTATTGTGTGAAGGATTGAGAAAAGTTCCTCTTTCTCTTTCATTGCTTTCCTATGCGAAAACATGGGTAAATCGTTCCATCACATTAATTTTCAAAAAAAACAACAATATTCAAGATACATTCATTAAATGTATAGCGCTGAGTTGGGTCTTTAAATTGTCTGTTACGACTGAGTTGCTTTCACTAGGAATTATTCTTATTTACGAATGGGCAACAAAGCAAAATAAGACAAAAGCAAGCAAGCAAACGAGTAAATTGAATTACGATCATCGCTGGCTTGCACGCTGACTCATCCGAGAGCTTGCAAGCAGCCAGTGAACAACCTTATTAGTTTACAGCTGTTGGCATGAGTGAATGAGCATGGTATGATGATGAAACAATGCTAATTCACATACTCACAATCATACTTTCATCCTTCAAATACTAATTTCGGCAGTCACTGACAATGGAAGCTTGTAATACTCGCAAGTGTAGCAACAGCAGCAGCAGCAGTATTAGAACTTTATTGAAGTGAAACTGTTTATCATTAGCAGTGTCATTATTAGAGCCTCTTTATGGTTAGCATTATCATTCTCATTATGAGCAATGCATTTATTATTGGCTTTATGCCTATTAGAATCATTATATGCCGAAAATATGTTTATGGCCATGCATATAATCCAGTTTCTATTTATTGCTCAGCATTCATTCTTCTTCTACTTTTGTTGGTAATCGTTGCGAGCAGGATTAACAAGAGGACATTCATTCAGTCATTTGATCTTTTGAGATTAGTTAGCTTTAGTCATATTTATAAGATGTAGGTGACGGTTGAACAGTTAGCTTTAAGAAGTGATCATGAATGCTATGCTTTGTCAGATATTAGTGCAATAAACAGTAATCTTTTTTGATCTGTGGCCATCCACTCATAATGCTTTTTCGCATTCAGTTACGTTTTTGTTTTGCACTGCTCGCATGCCGAGTTGCTCAAAAATTTTCATTCGTTTCGAGTACCAAATGGTGAAAGTAGAAGAGGATCCAGTAACGAAAGCGTGTTCTGGAGAAAAGTTCGTCTAAGCAATAATGAATGAATGTATGAATGAGTGACATTTTGAAATAGCACAAGGCAGCAGCACGATTTGTATAGTGCATGTCACATATTGGCATGGCAACAATCAGATGTAACCTAGCAAACGGCACTAAGAATATATACTACCTAACCAGCTAATTTGATCAGTCTTGAAAGGTTTACACGTGCAATACTTATGTCAACATCATTTTATCTTCATTTGAATGATTACTGTGACAACTGGACTTCGCACTAATGGATACCAACAGAAATGAGATACTGTTTAGCAGCTCCGAGATGAAAAATGTGTGACTCAAAAATGCGATGCATTATGTCTAAAAAAATGCGCAATTTATAGGTCTATATTGATTATGAAGAAATAAGGTATCTCAAAGAAAGATTATATAGAAGTGTTCACAAAGAATACAATTCACTCAGAAAGTTGATCATATTTGATCAATTCTCGGCTTGTATAGGAAAGCGAAATGATCTGGGAAAGATGAATATTAGCAGTATGTAATAGGTAATGATGAACCTCATAAGCACTGATGAAAGCGTCATTCATCGATTCTGAATAACCACTGAAGTAGAGCATTAACAAGAAGCAAATCACCGATGCAGTGGTTAGTTGACAAATGAGTAACGTGAAACGTGGCCATACATAACGTGCGATACCGCGTTTGTCGGAGAGTATAATCGTGATGACTGAGAGTATCTCACAGATCAGTAGGCCAAGCAATACACCGAAAATCAGCAAATCCATGAAATCACTGCAAGCGATTAGTTGTTTTTGTGCGATTGATTGCGTCGAAAATCAAGAATTCGGAATCGATGAGGTGAGAACAACTCGAACAGTTTGCGTTGAGGGGTTGAATAGAATTGAAAATGAAATTTGTTCGTAAAAATATTGATAAAAGCAAATTGCACTCACATGTAATCAAATGTTGCAAAAAGTAGATCAGCTGATCGGTAGAACAATAAAGCCACGATACTTGTGTCGACTACTGACAGTGAAATGGCACACAGACGTGGTGGCCAACAGCAAAAACACAACATTTTTTCTTATTTAGGGTCGGGAACAAATGAAAGAGAAAAACTTGGAAAATTTCTTCGTTTTTCTTATCGATCCGTCGTACCTAGCGTTCGTTTAAGAGTGAGCGTAAGAAAAGCTTTATTTAAGCTGACGCTTACGATGAATAATAATGTCGCCTTATGGCCTCGGTTAGCTGCTTTAGCCTTTTAGCTGATGTCAACTAACTGACTGTTCAGTTGGTCTTCGTCTTGATGAGGAGGAGATATATAGATTGACAGAAATATGTACAAGCAAGAGGTAAGCCAGCGGTGGCTAACTCTATAGATAGCATGAATGTTGCTCGTAATATTGCTGGTGCTGTTGTAAAGTTGTTGCTGTATTCATGTTAACAGGTTAGACGTGAATAGAAAGAAAGTAGAGGATGAGGATGGAGATAGATGGATATATAAATGTGTGATATGCGCGACGGCGTGGACTGTTATAATATCTGCTGCTAGAGTTGAGAATGAAATAATGACAATGGATTGGATAACGCTTGTCAAGAATGAGAAGACACAATACCGCTTGGCTTGGCTCAACTGCCGACAATGAAATTCATAATGTGTGTAATAGCCCTATGAAACCACTGATTCAAGCAGCCAGCAACATCGGTGTGACGTCGTATACGGATAGATGGATATTAGGCTAAATTCTTGGTATCACTTGTTCATAATGTCTACCGGCCTTCCTTCCGCCCATCCGTCCACTTTTCATTTCTGGCACTCACCTAGATACCAGCCAACATTCATTGATATACTATCGCCGTTGAGGCAGTAACCAAATTTATTCGTCATCTTACTTGTCCATTGATAGATTACATAAACATACATACAAACATGCATCATATTCTATCTCACCAGAAGCGTATAATTGAATTTTAGCTTTATTTCGGTTCGTATTAGCTCGATCTTTCATACACTTTTTTTGCATGGCTGACCTCCTCTGAACAAATCGAACAAGTAGACAGTCTTTGATCAAATGAGGATGAATTGCACCCGTGCATTATTATACAAAAAAAGTTTGCATGCCTGCTCTTGAAAAGCACCAGTCATTGACCATGGCCTGCGGATTTTCGACGTTTCTGAACTTCCTAAAAACCGTCTATTTTCGATAGTCATAGTTTTTCTTCCGAAGGTTGAAATGCTCGGAATCACTTCGAAGATTTTCTTGCACTTTTAGCAACACACTGATACTTGCGGAAGTGATTACATGCTTTCCTTTCAGTTTCACACTTCGTCCGCATTTGATATAATTGCATTTCGTCTCGACCTAGCACCTCGTCTCGCCAGAAATTTAACTGCTTACAGCTCTTGATTGTAATTTTGAGTTCAGATGACTGCGCCGATAATCCATGTGCACTAAATGCGACTTGTACGGATTTGGTGAATGATTTCCATTGTGATTGTCCACCGGGTTTTGGTGGTAAACGATGCCATGAGAAAGAGGATCTGTGTGCGCATGATCCTTGCGTTAACGGGCTATGCGTTGATGCGCTCTATTCGCAAAAGTGCATCTGTGAGCCGGGTTGGACGGGGCCGGTTTGCGATGTGAACATCGACGAATGCGCTGATCGACCGTGCTTCAACGGTGCAACGTGCAAGGATCAGGTTCTTTTCAACCATTCTGCGGTTTGTTTCATTCGAATTGATGATGCTCTGCACGCTCACTTAATGACTGCTTACTTGTGATTGCATATTAAGTGTTCACAAGTACTCGATGCCATCCATTGGCTTTTAACAAGTCATTGAGATTCATCTCTTGATTCGATCTGTGGTCATTGTAAAGGTCTCCTTCTTGTTCGTATAGCATTATTTTCAGGTTGACGGTTTCCTGTGTCAGTGTGCGCCAGGCTTTCATGGTTCGGTCTGTCAACATATGATGGATCATTGTGCGACATCGCCATGCCGTAACAATGCAACGTGTGTGAATCAAGGTGCGCAGTATCATTGTGAATGTCCTCTTGGCTTTGAAGGAACACACTGTGAGCACAACATCAACGAATGCGATTTGCTTCATAAATGCTCTCAAGAAGGTACTGAACTGTGTGAAGATCTCATCAACGGATTCAAATGCAACTGTCGACAGGGCTATACTGGTGAACTGTGCGAAATTCATATCGATCAAGTGAGTTAAAGTAACAAATTTTTTGATGAGTCTTTTCAAATGGCTCGATAACGTATTTGTTTGGAGTGTGCTTCTGAGCCGTGCATGAACAATGGGACGTGTATCGATGGTGGTGCGATGTTCCGTTGTGAGTGTCCACGAGGCTGGAAGGGAACGCGCTGCGAAGAAGACGACGGTTCGTGTGCGTTAGATCCTTGCCACAATGATGCGCATTGTGTGAACTTGGTAGCCGATTATTTCTGTGTGTGCCCAGAAGGTGTGAACGGCAAAAACTGCGAAATTGCGCCGAATCGTTGCATTGGTGAACCATGTCATAATGGTGGTGTGTGCGGTGATTTTGGCTCCAGACTGGAATGCACTTGTCCGAAAGGTACAAACATAACTTCTTCCTACGTTATTCCCAGTCTTCATATGCAGCTTTAAATATACATATATCATGATTGTATCCAGTTTTTTTTTGGCTTGATCTGCCATCAGAAAGTGTTCAGTCTACCGTTGAGCGATTTCGGAATACAATATAATGAGAATTTTCAAGTGAAATTAGATTAGTTTGCAATGAATTGATTTTGAATTAGTTCACTGACTGTTTTGCTCAGATTATGTTGGACCTGGATGTCAATTCGAGTTGAACGCTTGTCAAGAAGGAGCTTGTCGAAATGATGGCAGATGTATTGTGACAGAGCATGGTGGATACAAGTGCATTTGTGAACCAGGTTATTATTATGACGAAGAGTTCAAAAGATGAAATGAGTATTTTAGAACATTTCACCGATTGATTTCAGTTCGATTATCATCCACTCATGAATTTTTCAGGTTTCACTGGAAGGAATTGTGAAACAAATATCAACGATTGCTCGCCATCACCTTGTCCATTGGCTGCAACTTGCATTGATCAGGTAAATCTTAAACTCGAGATCATCTTCTTCCACTACCACCTCTTGCTCTCCCTCCCTCTTTTTCTTCTCTCTCGGTTTCCTAATTAATAAATTTCAGGTTAACAACTATTTCTGCCAATGTCCATTCAATATGACTGGCGTGAATTGCGATAAAGCGATTGATGTGGATTATGATCTGCATTTCTACGATGCGTTGATGACTGCAAGTGCAGCGCTGTCAGTACCGTTCAAATTCGATTCGAATGCATTCTCAATTTCGTTATGGGTCAAATTCGATATGCCACTCTCGCATGGTACTGTGTTAACGCTCTACAACAGCAAGTAAGTTCGACTTTCTCTCACTTCTTAATTGAGGAAAATGCGAGAGAAAGAGTTGCAGTGAATGGTGGCTGGCTTGAGTCACAAGATTGCATTGATTTCAGAGAGCCGAATTATCCGGCAAAATTGAGCCAATTGCTGCATGTCTCGGCCGATAACGTTCATTTGAATATGTTTGCCGACGAGACTCCGCTTAGCTTGCATTTCCCATCGAATCAGCGACTCAATGATGGTCATTGGAATAATTTGGTGATCACATGGAAATCAGATGATGGTGCATATTCCTTAATATGGAATGCAGTTCGTATTTATGCTGACGTTGGTTACGGTACCCATAAACATCTAGATATTAAGTGAGTACTTTATTACATACCAACTACTCATTCAATCCAGTTACACTTTTATCGTAATCATTCATTCATCATTGGTCAGATACACCATTTAACTGACAAATTGATAAATAACAGTCAACAGTAACCTTCAAACTTTCCTTAAATTATGCCGCAAAATTTTAAAAGATTTCGTGGACTCGTTTCAATTTTTGCGAATTTTACCTCCGATATATTCTCGTAATTTCCTTGAGATTATTTGTATGATGAAACGGCCTGCTTGGAATTCAATAATTTATCAATTTTGATTGAGTGTTTGTGTGTTTATGTACGTCCTTTAGTGCATGGATATCACTTGGTGACCCAATCAGTGACACTTCAACGGATTCCAAATTCGTCGGTTCGGTGACACGAGTGAATATGTGGAAAAGAGTTATTGATTTTGAGAATGAAGTACCCGACATTGTGCAACAGTGTCAACAATCGCAAGTGAGCAGCGTTTCTGCGAAATTTTAATTTGCTTTTGCATTCGCCCTTCACGAAACGATAAGTTCTTGTCGAATCAGTTTCCTACGTCAGTGAAATGTCGATTCATCCAACGTTTTTGCAGGAGATTTACGATGGTTTGGTGCTTCGTTTTGCTGGCTACAATCGAATGTCAGGTAAGGTTGAGCGAATCGTTCGAAGTACGTGCGGTCGAGAGCGTACTGATCTGAGAAGTACATCAACTGTTCACGTTGATCGTTGTCCATCGGATGTTTTCGTCGTCACACAACAAAAAGAGGTGCAGTTGTTATTCACATTGGAATTTTCCATCCACATCGTCTTTCGATTGTGAACTCCTTCATTTTCATTTCTATAAAAAGGTTTCCGCACGACGATATTTCATAATTTTATGCAAATAAAAACGTTTACTCAACGCTTTCTTGATTTCTTTAGGTGAATGTCACTTGGCAAGAACCACGCTTCTCGAGCAAATATGGCATACAGAATATCGAACGAAATCTGAAACCTGGCCAGATGTTCACGTGGGGTGAATATTTGGTGGTTTATGTGGCCAAAGATAATACTTCGCAGGCTGATTGTGTTTTCAAGGCATGTTCCCAACTGCTTACTTAAAATGGCGTAACGGCGTCATCTGTTCCCGTTCTTCATTTCATGCTTCTCATGCGCAGACAATACATAACCAACCATCCAATGATCCATTAAGCAGACTTTTATCTGGATTCCTCGTTTTCAGGTGCATCTTTCACGTGAGTTCTGTCCCGATCTAGAAGATCCATTGCATGGCGTTCAAGCATGTGAATCATGGGGTCCACAATTGCGCTATAAGGCATGCTCAATTCAGTGTGAGGCTGGATATGAATTCAGCACTGAGCCACCAATATTCTACACTTGTGCTGCTGATGGCCAGTGGCGACCACGCCATCCGAACACATTCAATTTCCATTATCCACCATGCTCTAAGTATTAATTTCTTTCATTTAATTAATTGAATTTGTTTACAAATAAGCTACACCAATTCACTCGACAGGTCGCTGCCTGCAGTTCGTGTTGCTGATGTGACCATCAATTATCCGACTGTTTCAATTTGTAACGCTGCCGGTAGAAATACACTTGCCGAGAAAATCTCGCAACGAATCGAAGTGCTCAACACCAAATGGAATATCTTCCCTCAAAAGTTTGTTTTCCAGTTTGTTTTTTTGCAGTTCTTAGGCCGAAGTTTTTTTGAATCACTCGAATTCTATCCATCTTCATGTCTCTCCTTCTTTGAGAATCACTTGGTCAACTAGCTGGCAATTTAGAGTTGATATACGTGTCTTTTCACAATCGTATGGTTGGATCGGTTCCTCAAAAAGTGAATTTCAGACGTGAAAACACTCGTACACAATTCAATGTAACCGTAACATGTCTCGTCGAGAATGATACACTACGCACAAGACGAAATGCACAAGATGACGATGAAATATTCCACGTTGATATTGCCATACCGATCACATCGTTCGTCCTTTCTTCTTGATTCATTTCATTTCACTGAATATTTGTTCAGTCAGCGATTACAATAAATCATTAGGATCACGATCATGCATTGCTGATATTTATCACCAAACATTCCTCATTTGCACTCAACTTCCCTTTCGGTATTCAAATTCCAAACAGCGTTCAGTCATTCCTGCAATCAATAATGTCTTTAAAGTTCCTAGTCATAATGAATAAAATTTTAACTATTACCATAACCTTCAGTGAGTTAGCTGAAGATCAACGAACAAACCGTAAAGAAAAGGTGATTAATGTACTCGAAAATGAGATTCTTTTGAAGGATATATTCAATCTGGAACAGGTACGTTATGCATAATGAATTATTCTGTCTGCCTTTCACTGTTTTCGTTTCTATTCATGCAGTGCTTTAGTCCTATTTGATAATCATTATGATCTTCGTAAAAAATGGAGTTTTTGAAGGTACTACCGAATGGACGACCAGATTTGAACTCATTCAAACTCAGAGAACGATACGTTTGTGATGAAGGCCAAGCGAATGTCAGAAATCTCTGCGGTAGGTTCTGGTACAATTACTCTATTTCTATTACAGTGGAACAAATAAAAAATCTTTCTAGATTGATGAATTTTTTTGAAGAAGAAAGAATTTGAAATATCTCAAGACAAGCAACTAAGTAACGCGAAATGTCTACTCATATTTTTGATGCTCACAATAGACAGCAATGAATAATGAATTGTTATAGTACCATGTGCGCCCGGCTCATTCTTCAATACGATAACACGAACTTGTCAGCTGTGTGGAGTGGGTTATTATCAACCGAATGCAGGTCGAACGTCATGTTTGGCGTGCTCTCAAGGTCAAATTACTGCAGGCGTTGGCTCTGCGCAAGCATCTGATTGCAAACGTTAGTGAATTGTTTTATAAAATCAGAGTGTGGTTCTTCAACGGTTTCTAGAATCGCTGATTATTTTGTGAGCATTATAAGGATTGATATGATTTATTGTTGATTTGTTTCAGCTGAATGTGAACCAGGCCACATGTATAATATGCTCAATAAAACGTGTGAACCCTGTGGTTTCGCGTTCTATCAGCCTGCTTCTGGTTCATTTAGTTGCATTCCTTGCGGAGTTGGGAAGACAACTCTCACTGAAACATCCATTAGTGATGACGAATGTCGTGATGAATGCCCAGGTATTTTCCATTGTTTTTCATATATTTCGGCACTTCTCGTCGATTTATAAAAAAAACGCCTTTGACTTGACAATTTAATGAAATTCTAATTGCTGTGTTCCATTTTCAGATGGTGAACATCTAGTTGAAGCAGGTATTTGTTTACCATGTCCACAAGGTACGTATCGAACGAAAGGTGTTCATAAAAGTTGTGTGGATTGTCCGGCAGGCACAACCACTGAAGGAGCGTCATCTGTACGACGTATGCAATGCAATACACCTCGTTGTACGGCCGGACAATTCCTTGTTACGGCTAGGTTATCGCTCTACACTTCTTTTATCATTCTGCAATTCAGCTCTGCACTTAATGTTTTGTACGGTCTGTTCTTGTCATATGTACAGCACTAAGATGCGATTTATTCAGAAAAGATATTTGCTTGATTACGAATGCAATTATGAGTATCCACTGTGCAGGAGAACGGTCACTATTATGATCAGTAGATGTTAGAGCGTGTGCACTGCACCGTTACTCATCCTAACGAAGTGCCATAAAAATATCTATGAATATATATTTTAATGATTTCATACGGATATTTTAGTAAGCAATGTCAGTTCTGTCCACGCGGTACATATCAAGATGAGGAACTGCAAACAATTTGCAAACTTTGCCCAGCTGATCATACGACTGCATCGGAAGGTTTGTACTATTGTCTCTTTACGGTTTCATTTGATCAATGCCTAACTTTTTCAAAGAAAAAAACTGTATTGCAGTTTTTAAAACAGATTATATTGAAAGAACATTCGTAGTTTTATATTTGTACTTTTTGAATTGAACTTGTTATCTGTCTATCTGTTCATCCAGTTAACAATTCTAGGTGCCACCCAAGAAAGTCAGTGTTATTCAACGAATCAGTGTACCACTGGCGAGGACGACTGCTCGTGGCATGCGATCTGTATCGATCTTCCTGATGACAATGATATTCCTTCATATCAGTGCAAATGTAAACCTGGCTATAAAGGCAACGGCACGCATTGTCAAGGTGACTGATTACTTGTTTGTCGCAATCAAGTTGATTGTCATCATTTGCTTCTATTTTATTCGAGGTTTTCATTTCCTTTTCACCTACCTCAAAAATGCTTGTTTTGTTGATATTGATGCGACTGCTTCAGATGGAGTGTAAAACTCTTAAATGCTTCGATAAGAAAGCATCAATGCAATGAATTATTGTTTTGATGAAATGTTGTTTGCAGATGCCTGTACTAATTTCTGTTTGAACGATGGAATCTGTAAAAAGAACCCAATTGGTTACGTGGAATGCGTCTGTAAAGAAAACTTCTCTGGTGAACGTTGCGAAGTTAGTTATTATTCATTTTGCATTACATTATATTCATCTACTGTATTTTGTAACTATTTAAAAATTATTGTTGCTACTGCTATTGTTGTTGATATTATCATTTTCATTATTCTTCGTTCAGGAGAACTGCTCACTGGTTGCTTAATCATTTCATACTTGCATATGTTGATGAGAAATATTTCTCGAGCATTGCTTCATTTCGTTGTTGCAGGTTCGATTCCAACCGCGAACGCAAAAAGTAGCGTTAATAACGGCTGGTATCGGTGGTGTTGTTGCAATCTTGGTGATAATCGTTATCATAATATGGATGATTTCGTATCGTTTCAATCGCATAGATCAGTCTTCCGACGATACACCCGAAAAATATCCCATCGATGAAACGGTCCAAAGTAATTTTCTCTACGGTGCACGTGCGCCATCGTGCGGCGGTGAACAACTGAGGTATAATTGTTGGCAGTTTTTTCATTAGTGAAATTAACACTGCTATAAATACTCGTCAGTCCCTCCATGTGCCTTCGCCAAAGGGTTTCCTCTTTAGTTTGAGCAATTTAAAACGTATTGTTATATTCCCATCTAACTCGAAGAAAACAAAAGCGGATCCGTGGTTCAGTATTTGAGAATTCGGAAATATTTTACCTGTAACCTCACAGACACCCATGTGCCCCAATTCATATCGGAATGTTGGATAGTGCTTTGATTTTAGACTGTAGAAGTAGGTTGAAGATCATGCAATATGAGATTCCGAGAGAGCAATTATTGCTATCTATCCACAACGTATGCTGAAATTTGAAAGTTCAGAGCTTCATAAGATGATTGTTGCCGTTTTACTTAACGTTAAGTATTCCGTTGACGTATATTTCGCACTTTTTTTTCTATTTTGTGAAACTTACGAATCATGTATTGATTTTGAAGGCCAATTGGATACTACTATGAAGATGATGAGGACTATGATATGAAAACGATGTACGTTACGGATGAGGATAAAGAGTTGGAAGAACGAATTCGACATGCACAAGCGCACTTGTACACACCATCGACAACGAATCGAACTTCTGCTGATGATGACTGATTACCTTGTGTTCGGATCGAATTTTATGACAATGGTGATTATTATTATTATTGTTGTTCTTGTTATCATTATTATTACTTAATTGTTTGTGATACTAATTACTGTTATTGTTGCCATAATTTTTGTTAACTAATCACTGGGTTTTGATTATCTGGTACTAGCAACAATAATAACGATTATATATGCTGTATGAGAACAATCAAAATAACAATAATATTATTTGTATTGTTTGTTCGTATGTGTATCAAATACAGCCAATATTGTTTCTATTCTCATTGATTGTTATCATTCTGTATTGAATATCATCACTTTGTGACTTTTCTGCATCGACTTTGCGGACGAATTTATCATACTTATTGCTTCTGTTCTTATTCATATGTCTTTTGAAGTGTTCATTGAGAAGAAGACAATCAGCTACTGCACATTCGAATAACAATTTGGCTATCTGCTTACCAGTTACAGCACAATTCCAACCGTTATTTGCCCAAACAATTTCTAAGCTTTTTCGTGGAATTCAAATTGACTGTTTGATAGGTTCTCATATAGACAATTGTAAGAAGAAATTGTGCAAGGTGAAACATTAAGCTCTAAGTTATTGAATTTTGCGAATTCACCTGAATTTTTAAAATTAAAGTATCGTTGATTGATTTTTCCATTTCCTCATAATTGTTTTTTTCACTCAAGTCGCTCGATTTGTTTTGATCGTTACTTATTCATTTACTTCTTTCGTTTTGTTTCAGTGTGAAACTGTATCTGTTTTTCAAAAGAATTTCAAAGAGTATCCAAATATTTCCTATGAATGCATTGACTGACTTACAAAAATGAAATTATTGTTCATTTAACAACCTGTACAATAGGTTACGCCATAACTTCTCTCCGTTTTTTTTTCGTTTTACCAGAGTATTTTCTCAGAAATTCACTCAAACACCCGTAAGCTGAAGATTTTGTGCAAGCGAACGCTTTTGTCCAATCAGCAAACACAAGGTTACGGTAACCTGTTTACGCTCAACTCTAAAGAACAATATCTGTTGCTGTCTTTGTTTCTCTCATTCTCTATACAGACTGTACACTGTTACTATCGTATACTGTGCATATTGTGTGACTGTTTGAATAGCAACTACTTGTCGATTATGGCATTAAATGCGTTCAACTCTTTACGGAGGGGCGGACGCATTTTTTGGTTAACTACTTCAAAAGCTTTGAGCCATTACGTTTTGCGATCAATTTGACGTATAATAACAGCAGTAAAGAGAATTGAATATTAGAAATTATAACATTGCTAATTCTGAAGAATATCATATGCGAAATGTATATTAATTAAGCGAGTAAATAAATACGACAATAACTAGTATAATAATAATGCTACTGACAAGAGTATGAATATTGAAAATAATATCAGTAAAGAACCAACATAGCAACTAAAATAGTAAGCTTCATTGATGATAGCCAGAACATGTTTTTAGCACCTATCCACTGATAATGTAATTGATCCGATCCGATTTGTCCAATATGAGTATAGCCATTTTAGTTTTGATGACATATGGGAAACACGGTCACTGTCGTCTTTAGAAGATCAAGTAGCGACCTGATTGAACAAAACAAAAACAAATTGTCTTTAGATGAGGTGCAAATGAGGGGAAATAGTGAATGGAGGTAGTTTAAATTGTAGATCAAAGTCAAAGAGCCTCTCAGAACAGAGGAATAATCAAGGGAATGATGCAGGTAGATCGACTATGCTCAGGACAAGGTGGATGAATGGTGAAATGCATGAACTGAAGGTACGAACGCAAACCGGAATAAGTCATAAAGGTTGCATGCTAACCAACAAGAGAACCCAATGAAAGAAAGGGATAGACTGGCCAGAAAAGGTTACTGCTGATAGTCACTTTCGCAGGTAGTAGTGATTAGCTAATAAACAGGCAGCTAGCAACGATGCTATGTGCTGCTAATATTATATGATAGGTGGATGGATGGAGGGCTGACTGGAGGCAGCACATGATAACACAACGAGTACAAATGTGACGGGAAGAAGGTTGAATGGATAAATAAATGAAGGAATAGCCTGACTAACTACTGACTAGGGTAAACGCAAGATGACCAACTACTACTAACCGCAGTAGTAGTAGCAAACGTTTAGCTCACTGATGTTGTATTTATGATTTTGTTGCTATTCTTTTGACGGAACATGCAGAACCACTACTAATGTGTCAAATGATAGTATATATGTCTTAAAGTTTCTTCTTATATTGTTACTTGCTTGCTTATTATTGCAGTTAGCTATGTATCTATGTGTACATCATGTAGAGACGAGAATGGATGAATGGTGAATAGAACGCATGATGCGTACATATTTGTATCCATCTATCAAATTCTGCTTGTGGATGCAAAGAGTATGAAACGATGTCGAGAGTAACTTATGGAAGTGATGAACGAGGAACGTAAACGAAGGGTTACTACTTATTATCCACAACATATAATGGCTGTCGTTGTTTCTAGCTTAGTGAAATAGTCTGGCCGGACATGATGGCAGGCAAACAGACCAACGAACACATGAACTCATCATAAACAGATGATACATGCTTTGAACGAGCATGCATGCATGCATACACTACACATGCTTGCTATTAACTATTAAGTAATATTCATCTCGTTCTCATATGTGTGCTAAAGAGTGTCAGAGATATCATCCGACTATTCTACTACTCTATCAGACTCATGCTTAAGCTATATGCTCGAGACGCTGGCAACAGCAACATCGTATTTGCATGCTGCATGGGTATTGCTTACTTACTGCTTTTGGAGTAGAGTTACTGGACAATACTACTGCTACTATTAATACTAATACCGACTTACTACTTACTGTTACTAGGAAGGCTGCCATATAAACTCTGAAGCAGGCTAGCTAACGGCCAGGCTTCATTCAACCAGCATATATATA